CATTGTGTAGCTTTGCGCTTAATTACAAACAAACTAAAAGAAAACTCCTAAAATGGTAATCAGAGAGATCAAAACCCATTTCCGGTGCGAAATATATATTTGTAATGTATGATAATAGCATAATTTTATTATTTAACGGTGAGAAAAAAGCCATCAAAATATCAAATCATCAGGAATTGAAATCAAAACCAGACTCTCTATCTTCTTGTTTTGCTTGGACGTAAACCAGAGTGGTGAACAAAAAAAAAAAAACATGCACACACACACACACACATAGAAAACAACAAATCTGTAAAATGTTTTTATAACCCAAAAATTGTGGCAGAAACGAAACGTTTCCATAAAATTTTCAGAAAATATCACCGTTAATTTGAATTTACATCCTCCATTAGAATTTCCTTGGCACGAGATTAAGTTTCACATTTACGTTGGAGTTTAGAGTAAAGTACCTTAAGAGACATTTATTCGAAGACATTGTTCTGCTTTGAATAATAAAGACTCTGATTAAATAATGATAGATTTAAATATCTACCTGGGTAGCATTCTATTCAAAAGCTGGTCTGTTTTCTTCTTCTCTTCGTCTAACTGTATTGTCCTGTCCTTGATCAAATCCTCTAAATTATTTGAATACTTCTCTAACATTTGAAACATGGTGTCGACAATGTTGACTTTTCTGGAAGAGTTAGAACATTCGACATATATAATACGTAAGAAAATCTTTGACAATGGTTTAATAAAACTGGAAAAGTTATATGTATATATTAGAGGTTTGTGACACGAGAAAAGAAAGTTTAAGATATTTATGTATGAGAAAAAATTCCTATTTTCCAATTCTAAGGATAATTAGCTTAAACATAAGCCTGTTCTCTATATATGTTGTTGCAGTTAAGATCTGATATAACAACGTATATTATTTAATTTTATTTTAGATCAGTTGAAGCTAAAATCCCATTCAGGGAAAAGATTTTGTTTTTGAATTTCGCGCAAAGCTACACGAGGGCTATCTGGGCTAGCCGTCCCTAATTTAG